TGTGTTCCTCCCCTGGTCTGCTGGAGGAAATAGGGGAGTGAGTGGGTGAATTGATACCTTGCCTGCCTATCAGTGCAAACGTCCTTTTTATGTACATATGTTTGTGAAGCTCTTTAGCCCTCTTCAAGATGAAAGGCTCTGTATAAACAGAAGCTTTCGATTTTAGTGCATGTTTGTAATACATGTGGTACAGTCCTAAATATGTATTTAGCTGATAGGCACTGTTCTTGTCTAGTGTACAAATATTGACTTTAAAAGTATAAATATGTATTTAACCATCAGACCAGAAAAACACTGAAGCAGTTACTTCTCAGGTAGAGATATTAATATTGTATAAACCTACATATACTTAGGTTTACATTCTGCCACATCATTGTAGAGCATTTCTGTTTTTAAAAAGTGAAATGATGATCTCAGCAAACTACGACAGTTCCTGATATTCTTCTCCCTTTCAGGTGAGTTGTGATTTTTAATTTTCATGTTTATATCTCTATAACATTATAAAATATGATCTGTTGTAGTATGACTGAAATTTAGAGTCAGTTCTTGTAAAATATGAAAATCCATTAGGCTGTTGAGATTTTTTTCCCCTTAAATTTTTTTAAAATTATGGATATGTTCATATGTATACTAGAAATAATAATATAAGTTCCCATTTATCTGTCACCCAGTTAAGAGGTACTTGGTAGTACTTTCTCAGTTCCTTTTTTATTCCATAAAATGTTTAAGTTATCAATGCAATACAAACATATTAAAGAAAATTTGGAAAATGGGGAAAAACACACAATCCCATCCTAAAATAACTGTCATCTCATTTTGCTATATTCTTTACTTCTGTTTTTTTCTCCCTAACATGCTTTTAGTTAGAGTATTATAATATTTATTATGCACTCACTATGTGCCAGATACTGTTCTAAGGTTTACCATGTATTTCATCCTCACACACTTAATAGAGTAGGTTATTATTACCCCATTTTACTGATGAGGAAAGTGAAGTGCATAGATGTTAGTAACTTACCTAAGGCTATGTGGCCAGAAAACTGACTGAATCTCTATTCTGTCCGAATCAGATTCTATTAGATTGATAGTCTCCAAATCTGGCTCTGAGTCTGTGCCCTTAATCACCACACTATTTTGTTACTGTGATATGTATACAACTTTGTTATACCACTTCTTCACATTTAGCATTACATCGTGGGTGTTTTTAAATGCTATTTATAGTTTTCATAGCCATCATTTTATAAAACACTAGCAACGACCTCACTAGCCAATTTACTTCCTTCTCTTCAAAAAAGTTTTTACCATGACATTTATTATTTTAACTTTTTGTCTTAAAATATTTTTATTTGCAAAAAACTCATAAAGATAGTACAGAGAATTCCCATATGCCCTTCAGCCAGCATCTCCTGATGTTAACATTCTCATATAACCATAATAAAATTATAAAAATTAAGAAATTAACATCGGTATGATATTATTAAATAAAATACAGACTTCATTTTGGAATTGACCAGTTTTTGTTTTTACTAATGTCCTTTTTCTGTTCTAGGATCCAGTCCAGGAAACTATAGTTTGCATTTAGGTGTCAATGACATTTATGTGTGTTTTATAATTTATATTTATCTTTCCGTAGTGTTATAGCTAGGTGCAGTGGCACTAGTCTGGAACATACTTCCTTAATTTTTCTAGAAAATGAAGTTATGCAAACCTTATTTTTAAAAATAAACAATTCATAATAGCTATAAGTTAATTTTCTGTGCCTTAGTTTTCTCATGGCAATAATAACAACTGCTTTTGGATTAATAATAGCTATTATTTGAGGACTTTGATAAGCCAGTCTCTGTACTAATCTAGTGTGGTGTTCCTCGCAACAATCCCTCCAGAAAGACTGTTATCCCCATTTTATAATTGGAAAAATTGAGACTATACAAAATTAAGTGACTGCTCCAAGGTTATATAACTAGTATAAAGCTGAGATTTGAACCAAGACAGGCTGACACGCTGGGCTTAAACTTCTTTTAAAAAATATATCTTTATTGATTTCAGAGAGAGGAAATGAGAGGGAGAGAGAGAGATAGAAACATCAATGATGAAAGAGTCACTGATTGAGCCTGCAACCCGGGCATGTGCCCTGACCGGGAATCGAACCCTGATCGCCTGGATCCTAGGTTGATGCTCAACCGCAGAGCCACGCCCAGCCGGGCCGGGTTTAAACTTTTAACTACTGTTAGTATTTGTCAACATTTAGTATAGGATAGCATGTAATAGATGTTCAATTAGTGGTAGCTATTCTTGATATTTAAAAAAAATAGTTGACTAATGTTTAGGACTGTTATTCTGTGATCCCTAGAGATATGGACAATGTTCTGAGCCGTTGGTGTTGACTGTTTTCCAAGTATCATTTTAAAAATGAAATGACTATGGAACGAGCAAATATTTATTACTCCCATATTATGTGTAGGGATCCTGCTAGGCACTGGAGGAGATGATATAATGGTTCAAGCTGGCAAGCTAAAAGCGGTCCTAGGCAGTATATGATTAATTATGAAATAAATTCTCTGCATGAAGGTATTAGTAGGAGCTCGGAGAAGAAAGGGGTCACTTTAGGCGAGGAGAAGCTTTACTGAGGAGATGGAATTTGAATGAACCTTTTCCGAATGGGTAGATTTAGATAGGTTGAGAGGAAGGAACAAAACTTTGCATGCTGATGTTAATATAAAAGATTGCTGCTTCTAATAGTTTGTGCATCAAACCCATAGGTATTATTAATTTTGTATGTGGGGACACTGAAACACAATGAAGTTATTTTCACAAGTCACACAGTTAATAAGTGGTAGGGCCTAGATATGGATGCAGGTTTGTTTGACCTCAGAGCCCATGTTCACCATTGTATAGCCTGTCATTTGATTAGCAATAATATCTCAATTTTAATGTAAATTGAACAGTAGGTGCTTTCTTAGATGTTTATCCATTATGCTTACTCGAAATTTAATCTCTTGCAATAATGAATCTTGCTATGCTTAGACTGGGCTAGCACTCTCCATTCGGTAATGGTACATTTTTAGGGGGGAGGGGACGGTCGATGAGGAATTAACTTTGGAAAGAACATTGATAAAGAGTAGTGTGTTCTTGGTGCTGCTGTGTTGACACCTAATTAGAAGTCAATATTGCAAGCATAATGACCTAGCCAATTGCTGAACTGACTGCCCAAGTGACACAGTTAACTCCCCAGGTAATAGCAAAAGATAAGAGTATTATTTGCCTGCCCAGTGCCACATAGACACAATGTTTGCATTAGCATGCAAATGCTGAAGTAAATTCTTCAGGGCTCGTGTCTAAGCTGCTTCTGGCCTAGGTGGCTAAGGTTAATATATCACAAAATTTGGTGTAAAACTTGACCTTCCTAACTACAAATGCATTTAGAGGAAATAGCTTTTCCTTCCTGAGAAGCCAAAGAGATGTTGCGTTAGCGGGCAACGTGAGAAGGCGGGTAAAATATTTCTCCCCACACAGGCTAAGTTATAGTAACCAGCTTCTTAAAACCATGACCAAAATTATCCTGATATTTGGAGTTTCTCTGTGCTATTTTTTTGGATGCTCTCTTTCTCCTTCCTTTCTCTGTCTTTAATGAGCAGATAGAGTAATATCTGATCTCAGAAGGTGATTGGATTTTTTCTGTGTAATATATCCATTTTGATTTGTATTTTGCCAGTAGTATAATATATTAAATAGCTTATATTCATCTGTGGGTGCTTCATATATATATTTCTTAATGCTGAGAATCACAAATAGCTATGTGGGAAGCTTCAACCAGCCTGATTACAGTGGATGTGCAATTGGATTGAGGAATGTGTACTCAGAGCTTATGATCACTGGCCCGGTTGAGTCTGGGTGATGCATGTGGCTTTCCAGGGATGCTGCTATTTACATCTGTTAATGGCCCTTTTTGATGGCCGGCTCTCCAATGAGGTGATATGCAGCAGCCTGGGGATGAGGGACCAAGGCTGCAGATGTGGCTGGGCTCCATTAGGCAGGACCAGGAAGGCTCATCTGGTGGGCTTTGTGTTTGGGGGCGAGTACTGGGGGTGGGGGTGGAAAACATTACTTATCCAGGTATAGGGAAACAGGCAGGCAGACATGAAAAATTGCAGCTGTAACTGGAGTGTGAGTGAACAGAAAAGAAATGGAACTAGCGAATAAACAAGTAGTAGGATTGACTAGTTCTCATATAGATGGAGATTAGAAGAGGAGCGAGCTGTGAGGGTTTGGGAAGAGACATGTCACCCCTACCTTTTAAGTCAATATCATTTATTTGTGTGGCTGGTCAGATGCTGCTGAATAGAGAGCAGAGATTTACATAGATCATAGTGCAGCAAGAGATTATAGTTCCTTGCATCCATTGGTTTTCTGGTTCTGGGAGAAAGTGACAAGAGATGCTCACAAGGATGCAATGTTGAGCTATAGTAAGTTCTTGCAGAAATGGAAGATACTTGGAAGCAAGCCAGTAAACAATGTTATTTCTATCACATGCTAAAGGACAGTAAGAGGATGCAGAATCACAAAAGTTATACAGTACATGAGAGGTGATCCTCCTGCCCTCCTCTCATATGTTGAAGGTTTCTTGAAAAGAATCTCAAAAGAGATGAACTAGTGTCCTAGTAGACAGGGTAGTAAGCTCAGGCGTTCTAGATTTAATTCCCAGTGCCATGGCATCCTTCCTCAGGTGTTCTGATACATTTAGACTTTGTTTTGTGTTTTTCATCTTCCTTGAGCAGGCCCAAAGATGAAATTGAGATAACTGAAATACATAGGAAATCAACTGTTCTCAACATAATCTAAAGAAGTATGCTGGAATATTCTAGTTTCCCAGGGAGCTTGGCTCTTTAGCAATGCATTAGCATATTTTTACATGAAGGCTGTGTCTGATACCTTTAAGGAACCTACAAAAAACATCTTCATGTAAGAAACTTGTATTTATTTGTTTGTTTATGCTTTTGCAGATTGGCATGGTTGCTTGGAAAATGACTCTTAAGAGTCCTGAATATCCAGAAGGCCGAGATATCATTGTTATTGGCAATGACATCACATACCAAATTGGGTCCTTTGGGCCCCAGGAGGATTTGCTGTTTCTCAGAGCTTCTGAGCTTTCCAGGGCAGAGGGCATTCCACGCATCTATGTAGCAGCCAACAGCGGAGCAAGAATTGGACTGGCAGAGGAAATTCGTCATATGTTTCATGTGGCCTGGGTAGATCCTGAGGATCCTTACAAGGTACAGACTAAGAAAAAAATAATACTTCAAGACACTATATGGTTATACATATGTGTGTGTACATGTGTAGAGAGGTGGGGGAGAGACAGAGGTTTAAGTTCAAAAGTCATTATTTATGGTGAACCATCTTGGAAACAAATTGTCTCTCAGTATGTTCACCTGAGTTTTCCTCTGTCTCTGAAGATATATTGCTGAAAATTTGGTTGCACACAAGGTGAAATAGTAGGTATGCATTTAGCATAAGACATGCTAAGCCAAAAATGTATGTATTTAAACTATTCCATTGTGGCTTCCAGGACTTATGGTCAGTCGTCAGCAAAATCCCTTATATCCTCAGCTTCTTCTCTGATTGTTCTCCAGCCTTCTGTTTTACTTGAACCCTGCCTATCCTTTAAAGACACTGCTTCCCCTGTAGCCCTCTTAGGAGCTGAGTATTTCCTCTCTTTTCTTGGTATCACTGAGCCTGGAGGGGAAGAGCATCTCCCTTGTGCCTCATTGCTACTTCCAGGTCCTTTTCCCTCTCTTCTCTCTGAAAACCTGTTTTTGAATCCAATGTCATCAGTCTGTGCCATGTTACCACTGCTCCTTGCCATAGTGTTCCCCAACCTTGAGTAGCTCCCTCTCATTCTTTGCATCTTTTAGTTGCTGGCATATTGTTACTCTCTGCAATACTACTAGTCCTGTTGTAATTCTTTGTGATTACCATATCCACATAGGTGATCCATCCCCTAATCTAGCCTCTTACTTCCTCCCCTCTAATGGTCCTGTCCTCCACCCCAGCTCAGCCTCTCATTCCCCATAATCTCAGTTTCAAGCATCCTTTGCCACTCCTGCATCCTGTTTGCAGCTCAGTCTCTTCAGTACCCCAAGTCCAACAATCCTTTGAACCTACCAGAACCTGTAACTTAATCCTACTACCCTTCTTCTGATATTCACTCCCTCCTTACATCCTCATTTTATTTCTTCCCAGCTTAAATTCCAAAGTCAATCATAGGTTTAATCAGTATAATCACATTATAGTTACTACCTTTCCTACACCCTCAACTTTTTCGCTTCTCTCTTCATTCTGCTTACTCTGTGCCTTTACAATCCTGTTTAAATCCAACTCTCTCCACCTACTCCCATACCTGAACCTACATAGCTGAACATCGATAGAGAAAAATACGAAGTGCTGTTACTGGTCTTCCTTTAAATTCAGGCTTACCGACCTTTTGAATGACAGTTTTGCATCTTCTCTCCCCTAAAACCTCAAACGCCCTCTCCTCCCATCCTTTTAACTGATGATCTTGTTGTCCAACTGACTGAGAAAACAGAAGCAGTTAGAAGACAGCTTCCAGGAGCTCCCACACACTGCACCTGTGCCCTTACTCTCCATCGTCTCTCCTGTACTTTGGGAGAACGGTTCCTGCTCCTGCCTAAGGCCAGTCCCTCCTTGTTCACTTGATCCTTTCTCTTCTTGCCAACTTAAAGATGTAGGTCAGCACTTCTCTCTGCTCCTGGTACCGTCACCTTCCCCTCTCTACTGGGTCTGTCCCTGCAGCATACGAATACTTAGCCTTGAACCTGCTGGGCACACTCATGCCTCAGCACTTTTACACTTGTGGTTCCTTCTGCCTAGAATGCTTCCTCCTCCCCCCCAATATCCTCATGTCTCATTTCCTCAGTTCTTCAGTTCTTTGTTCAAATGACACTTTTGGTGAAGCCCTACTTGGCGATTCTCTATTTTATTTTTTTCTTAAACATTATTCCCGTTAACATTCTATGCTTTACTTATTTATTTTGTATATGTTCTCTCTCACTAGAAGATAAGTTCCATGAGACCAGAAATTTTTATCTGTTTTGTTCGTTCCTGTTTTTCCGGTACCTAGAACAGTACAGTCCACATAATAGGCACTCAATAAATACATGCTCACTGACATACTAATGACACTTAGTGCTACTAAGTGTTCTCGTCATAAGTCCTGTAAAAGCAATGACAGATTCATGTCTCTTTCATATTATGCTCACTGTATCTGCCTAAATGTAGCTTCTGATTCATTGAGGTAAATGATGGGCATAATTTCTCAAAGTATTTAAAATGTATTTCTCTGTTTACTTTTCCTTTTTTGGCTGAGTGACTAATTCATTTAAGTTAAACACACTTAACATATAACTAACTCTACTTTGTATGTGAGTATGTATTTGTATGTATAAAATAAATCAGTTATGAAATGTTAGTATAATTTTTAAATGTAAATAGGAATTAGGAGTTGTTTATTTAAAAAACAAAAGGCATGAGTTGAGTGGTCACTGGTTATTAGCACTGCATAGACTTCTGGTTTTAATACTGAATATCCTAGTATTGTGATCCTTTCAATTATCCCATGCCCATTGATATTTTTATAATACTGTGGATTTGAGAAAGTGAAACATAGTAATTCACAGAATTCTTTAACTTTGTGTTGATCTCTTTAATAGAGGTATCACTAAAGATCAGAAAATGACCCTTTAACCCTGGTGAAAATGAAGTAAATGGCAGCTACAAGCCATCTTGTTTCAAGGACAGACAGTCAGCCGCTGGAGAAATAGGCACTTGCGTCTTTCAGGGAGAGCTTCTTTGCCGGTCTTCTCTTAGACAGTAGCTCTAAGAAGTGATGCAGCATTTTAAAGCCAGCTCTGGGACAAGCTGCCTTATGCATGCTTTGCTGTGTTTTCTGGTTATGTCACGGTGGCAGATAATGAGATAAAAACTATTTGTGCTTCACAGGGATACAAATATTTATACCTAACCCCTCAGGACTATAAGAGAGTCAGTGCTCTGAACTCTGTCCACTGCGAGCATGTGGAGGATGAAGGAGAGTCCAGGTAGGTGCGCATGTGTTGGGCGGCCTGGCCACGGGCTAAAGGACGAGCATGTGACTGCTCTCCTCCCTGTCCTGCCCACCGTGACCCCGAAAAGCAGTGAAGATTGCTTGTCATATCTGAGGCCTTAGGTGTGTATCTGAGACCTACCATTTACTAGCCGAAAGACCTTAAGTATAATATTTACTCACTTTCTAAAATTCGGAACATGTAAACAATTATGAATAAAAAATAAAAATCAGCTACAATCCTACCCAGAGACACAAATTAAAAAAAATTTTTTTCCAGTTACAGTTTACATTCAATATTATTTTGTAATAATTTTAGGTATATATCATAGTAGTGAAACAATCATATATTTTACAAAGTGGTCCCCCCACCGCCCAGTATTTTAAGAACCCACCTGGCATCGTACGTAGTTATTACAATATTATTAACTATTTTCCCTATGCTGTACTTTACATACCATTTTGTGACAACCAGTTTGTAGTTCTTAATCCCTTCACCTTTTTCACCCAGCTCCCCAGTTTTCCTCTCCTCTGTCTGATCTCTGTGTCTGTGAGTCTGTTTCTATTTTGTTTGTTTATTTTGTCAAGAGACACAATTATTGGTGTATATTATATTCTTGCTGTCTTTTCTGTATATGTACTTTTTCCCCTAATAATTGGGTTGTAATAGGAAAACTTTTGTTAATTTGTTCTTTTCACTGAAAACTAGTTTGGGGAAATTTTTGTATATTCTTAAAATGTTATTTGAGAATATGATGCTTTATGGTTTTATAGTATTGCATCATAATGAGTATATCATATTTGAACGTTCAGACTATTCCAAAATTTTACTGTTAATATCCTTGGGCTGAACATTCTGTTACATAAACTTTTAGGAATATCTTTATTACCTTTGGGTTAATTTCTAAAAGTGGAATTACTGGTTTGAAAATATGTTCATTTTAAAGATATTTTTGATGATTGCTCTCCCAAGATCTGCACTCCCGGCAGTTTATAATACTATTTGTTTCCCTTCTTTAATTCTTCTCCACCCTTGCCAACATCTATTATTGTCAATTAATAAAACAGGATAAAAACAATTATTATTTTAACTGGTATTTTTGATTATCAGTGAAGTTGAACATTCTTATAATCTATGTGCAAGTACTTTCCAGGATGTTAATCCATTACTCCAATACTATCTATTGAATAATTTATGCTTCTTTTATAGTAATCTTAACTCATTTACTAGGCTTTGTATTCTGGGTTTTGTTCTGTCTGTTCTTAGGCTAATGCCACACTCTTTTAACTATTCTATTGGGGCAGATTTCATCACATTCTTAATTTTCCCCCAAGTTTTATTAGCTATTTTTGTCTTTTTATGTATAGGCTCATTTTTTCAAAATTCACAAATACTTTCCATAATGATTTTGATTCACATTGAATGAGTTTATAACTTAATTTAGGAAGATATAACATCTTCCTAATATTAACTCTTCCCAACAAGAAATATGGTATGTTTTTTTCATTTATCAAAGTGTGTTTTTACAGTTTTGTAGTTTTCTTCATATAGTTTATGCCAGAAGTTACCAGTCTTTCTTGGTTCACAGTACCCTTTACTGTCTCGGTAATTTTTCCATAGCACCTTTAGACAAAACGCTTGATATTTCTATTTATTAAGTAGTTAGACCGAATCAACTTCATAAGTATTTATGCCCTAACAACTTAATAATCATTAAAAAATATAATGCACATAATTGAAAATATTTTTAATTTTATTCTTAAGTAATTACAGTTACTAGTGAGATATTTGCATCTTTAGGACATCTCAGACCTTGGAATCAGCCACCTTCATTTCTTGTTCTGCATTGATTTTTTGTGTGCAGACCTTGTTTTGTTTTTTTCACAGAAACTGTGAAAACTCAGTTTTGCAAAGATAGGACTTTGTCAAAAAGAATGTAGCTGTGTCCAATGTTAAGTGGTGAACTACCTAAAGCAAGTAGTTCACATGGGATTTGACAGGTATCACACCATAGTGTTTCTCTCAAAAATATAAAATATCCTTCAGTGCCCCTGGTAGTTCACTGTGGCACCCAGGACGCCTTGGTGCACAGTGTAGGTATGGTGGAACTTTACCAATTTTTAAATGATTATTCCTAAATATTTTGCATTTTTCCTTGGTACTCTGAATGAATTTCTCATTATTACTGTTATCTCAGAAAGCTGTTGAGTGTGTATATTGCTTTTGTTAAAGCAAGTTGTTTTTCTCATCTATANTTACTGTTATCTCAGAAAGCTATTGAGTGTGTATATTGCTTTTGTTAAAGCAAGTTGTTTTTCTCATCTATAAGGTGAAGACCAAGTAAACTAATATATGTAAAGCCCTTAGCACAGTGCTGAGCACAGAGTAAGCAGTCAAAAATCCTGGCTGTTATCATTATCGTCCGTAATAATGGAGATAGTGTTACCTATCACACTGGATTGTTGTGAGGACCAGAAATGATATATATGAATGTGTTTTGTTCATTGTATTACACTATACAAAGGTTTTTATAATAAACAACATAAAATTTGGTACCACTTTAAAGAATGGTACCCTCCTGATAGAAAACTCAGACCATAGAGCAGAATGTGGGAAATTTTCTCTCTTTTTCACATAATACAATGGAAGAAGATGGCACTCAACAGATCACAAACACCTTTGAAGTAATATGCAGTCCTTAGGAGGGAAAAGATCTGCTTTGCAGGGCAGGCTGACTGGGCCCATGAATGTTTGTGACTGTGTGGCATGTGGGCCTTATAAAAAGAACACATTAATCTCCTCCCTCCCCCTATCAAATTAATGTGTCTCATTAACTCCTTAAGGGAGAGAAGTTTTACCTGTAACATAACTCTATAAACTAGAGTCTAGATACAAAACCATAGGAAGAATTGGAGAATTTTTGGGAGAGGCTAAAAATAGAAAGGCAAGGGAAGCTGGGAAGCAGAGATGCAAAGCCACAGACAAACAGCAAGGGCAAGGAAAAGGAATTGATGGAGCGCTTGAAGTCAAGAAGGGAGCAGAGAAATATGGGGGCAAAAAAATGTAGTTTAAGAGCCACTATGGGATACTTATTTATTATTTCAATTTATGAAACTATGCCCAGTGCCAAGCCTTCTGGGTACACATGGAACAATAAATAATATATGCCCATCTCTACTTCCAACTTTGTATTTTTCCTTTCTTTTATTAGTTGCATTCCCCATCTCCCATTTCCCATTATCAGCTATCACTCCTAATCCCCTGCCAAGAAGACAGATGAGTGGCTCCCACTGGATCCACAGGATGCTTTCTGGACAACCTGGCCAGCATTTCACTTCTACACACACCCCACCTGCCCCTCCAGAGGCCTATAGCCAGGAACTCTCGTGCATACACTTGATATTTACAGAGGAGTGGGGATGGGAGTGCACTGTTTCTACCTTCCCCTTCATCCCTGCCTTAGAGAAAGGAATTTTGACTTTAGAAATTGGACTTACCATTCTCACTGCAGCTCTGGATTTTTTATTCCTAGGTAACATGTCTAAAATTGATGACTTAATGGCTATTGCTTATTATAGAATGATACACATTGACCCTACCTTTAAGAAACTTGCTCTAGAAAGTAAGAGAGGACATCTAAAATCTGAGTGTCATCTATGTGTAAAGCCCTCTCCTTGTGCTTTAATTTAACTCTCATGTCAACCCTGAGAGGGATACTGTTACCCCATTTTACGGAAGTTACCATTATCCCCAGATCACACTGTATGTGTCAGAGCAAGGATTTAAGCCTATCTCCTTAATTCCATATGTTGCTCTTTCTTTTATACCATGTTGCCTCTAGACAAAATAGGCACCAAGCTAAGAAGGGAAGGTATATGAGTAAAGGTTATAGATCCCTGGTGTTATGTATAAGCTTCCAGTATGCTTTCTGTATGCTTTTAGTAGCCTTTTAATGGTGATTATTCTTTTAAGAGATTGTTCTTACTGTGTTTAACCTTTATAATTTGGAATGGCTATATCTAATAGGTACAAGATAACTGATATTATTGGGAAGGAAGAGGGACTTGGAGCAGAGAACCTTCGAGGTTCTGGAATGATTGCTGGAGAAACTTCATTGGCCTATGATGAGATCATCACCATTAGCCTGGTAAATCTTGCCTGGATATGAAATTTTTAAAGAGCTGACTGTAGCTAGGATTTTTTTTTTTGCCCCGTGCCTGCTATTCAGTCCAAAATGAGAGCATTTCTTAAAAATTGTACATCTGCAATTTGATGTTAACTGTGCATGATAGTGGGAAGATAGGATAGTGTAAATAATTGAATTTCCCAGGTAAACCTAGAACTTCCTTTTAGCTTTTAGTTTAATTTATTTCTCTAAATATTCTACCAGAATTTTAACAGCTTGAATTTCTTCTCCTCTTACTAGTTTCTTTGTTTATACTTCTAATATAGATGCCAAACATCTGTGAAATGGGCAAAAGTGTAAGAGAAGTAAAGGAGTTCTGGACCTTAAGTGTCTAATACATGAATCATCGAATGAGTTCTGTATCTTCTTTTCTTTGACCAGAAAATTACTATTTTTTGTATTGTTATTAATCAGATTTCATAAAAGCAGTATTTTTTTCTGTTAATGTGGGTTTTAGATATCTGTGCCCTAGTTTTTACAGCTTGGGAGGGGGCATAAATATGTGACATGTAGAATTTTTTTTTTTTTTAAGGTTACATGCCGGGCCATTGGAATTGGGGCTTACCTTGTCCGGCTGGGACAGAGAACCATCCAGGTTGAAAATTCTCACTTAATTCTGACAGGAACTGGGGCCCTCAACAAAGTAAGTTTCTAGGGTTTGGGAGAAGTATGTGAAGCTGTTTGGAGGTTATTGTGAATTCTTGATTCAGGATCCTGATTGGGAGGAAGCCGTTCAATCCATGCCTTCCTCACCGTCATCCTTCCATCTTCATGAACCTTCTTTCTTCTGTACCCATTGCCTTGCTTGCCTGTTCATTCATTCATTCAACAAGTATTTTGAGTATCTACTATGTGTTGGGCACTGTTTCAAGCCCTATGGATATGTTAATGAAACTAACATAAAACACATAAAACTCCTGCTCCAGAGAGTTTACATTCTAGTGTCTTTAGAAAGAGAATTAATTGAATGCTTCTGTTCTGCCCTCCCTCCCTTTATCTCATCTATGAGTAAGGGATGTGAAATCTATTTCCAGACATAGAGCCATCTCTGAAACATCTTCTGAATGTGCTGAGGATATCAAGTTTTAATTTTTTGAGAAATTTGTGAGTGCACTTCTAAAAAGGGGCACACATGTAAGGTGGCCCCTTGTATGTAGAGGAAGTTCTTGGTAAATATTGAATGAAAAGATGGATGGATGGATGGATGGATGGATGGATGGATGGATGGATGAAGTGCTGGGAAAGAGTATGACGTAGAGGTTTATCTTTCCTTAGAAAGAAATACTTGTGTCTTTTCAGTCCTANTGGGAAAGAGTATGACATAGAGGTTTATCTTTCCTTAGAAAGAAATACTTGTGTCTTTTCAGTCCTAGCTCATTGGGGCTTTTCCAAAGGGGGATAAAAAAGGTATGGTGAGGTCACTTCTTGTAAGAGTGAAAACTACCAAAGAATACCTGAATATACAAAGGACAGTGTAGTTCTGACTTCTTTGCAGGCATAGGAAAATTATTTTCTCACCAGAGCCCAGGAATATTTGTAATAGCCTGGGGCCGACTGGATGACCTTGTACGACTCAGAATCTCTCAGCTTCTTAGCTTTCTTTATCTGTCAAAGGGGGGTAATTTATGCCCTTAAATGATATTGTGGAGATCAAACAAGAAAACATAAGTAAAAGTACCTAGTACTTGGCACAAAATACTGGCCCTCATTACAATTTCAGTTCCCTTTTCCTCTCTCTTCCATGGCTTGGTGATTGAGTTTGTGAAGTTACACACATGCTAAATTATATTGGATATTGTGTTTACTAGACACGCATAAACTTTTTATCAAGCCTTGACCTTCAGGTGGAAGGATAGGAATTAAGTGTCCTGTCCTATCACTCCCATTTACAACATGTTGATATTTCCACTGGCCCAGTTAGCTTTTGGGGATGTCAGAAACGAGGAGAATGGTTTGATGTGATCAGCTTGTTCCTGCATCCATGTGTCCTTCTCTTGGCTTGGCTTTCTCTGCAAGGAAAGGCAGACTGCGCTGACAATGGTGAACTTGGATGTCCTGCTCCCTTTTTTGAGAGTAACCTAGAAGTAAATACTGTGAACCGCCACTAGTAAAGGAGATTATTACAGTGGGAGAAACTGCTAAGTGTCCTAAACTTTTTTAAGTTGCTCTTTGGGATACCTTCTTAGGATAAGATATTGACGAACATTGTTGCAGTGAGTTTCTTATTTTCTCCCTGATACTATATTATATACAAACAGTATTACAAAAAGCAAAGGTTTTGTTGTTGGGGTGTTGTTGCTTTTTTGTGTGTTTTGCCCAAAAACTTGGTAGTTGAATTTCTTTTGTGCCATTCAGAAAGCTTTAGGGATTTTTTTCTTCTTCTTTAAAATCTAGTTAAATTGCTCTGATCAAATTCATTATATTTACCATCTTCCTAGCCTACAGGGCTGCTTATTAAAGAGAAGTCTAGTTGCAAGAGAAAAGACAAGTGAAGCTGCAGCTGTAACTCACCAACAGTGCTCATTTCCAGGAGGACATGATCATTTGGAGCTGAAGGGAATGATCAGTTACAGAGGTTACCTAATCCTACTCCTCCAGCTTCACTATTTTCATGTCAGTGCCTCTTAAGTACAGAGTCGTGTTTCTGGAAGACACCCGATTTCATGCAAATTCATTAAAAATGTCCTGTTTGCCCCTTTGCCTATCAGGTATGAGAAAGGAGGCTGTACGGGCTCTACATACTCAAATTGCTTCCTCTGACTTATTGTGCAGGTTCTGCCTTTGTGTGCGCTGGTGACTTTCTACATCTCTGTTTGCCTTTCTTTCTGTAAGAATCTCTGTCTCATACTCTGGATGTGTGCAGGTCACTTAAGTGCATCTCTCTTCCCATGTGAGTGCCAGTCTCTCTGTCTCTTTGTGTTTGTATCTTGCTTCTAGATCCCTCTCTTCCTCTGTCTGCGTGCCTCCCTGAGTATCCATGTGTGAGAATGTCTTTGTGTCTGAAACACTGTCTGTAGAGCCAGCTTCCTTAAGCCTTGACTATTTTGCTCATAGTATGTGTGTAACTGTGTAAAGTGGAAATGTACGTGGTATATGTAAGCTTTAAGACCGAAAACATTTGACCCCCACCTTTTTGAGTCTTCATCCTTTATGTTAAACATTGGGGTGAAGAATAAGAAGGGAGGGGGGGTGCAGAGGTTGTAGGGAAAAAAATCTGTGTGTGCAAGTGCCGATCCCGTTGACCCCTTTGAAAATTGAAATAATGATAATGCGCGTCTCCTGACTGCATCAAACTATCAGCACATCAAAAGCCAGGAGGCATGAAATGCAAATGATAAAGTGAAAGCAGATGGATTGTGCATGATCGCCTGATGCCCAATGAATTTTAAAAGGTGCCGGTTTGCAATTGGGAGGGGGTGTAGGATTGGGAGTGGGGGGGCTGAAATAAACACGTTATCCCTGCAATTTTTTTTTTGTTCTTGACGCTTACTCCTGACAATATTTTTTCACACTTGAGTGAATACCCACTCCATCTCTCTCTCTCCCCCTTTTCCCCTCTCTCTTTCTCTCTCCCCCCCACCATCT